AAATATTCTTAAAATATGGGGGTGTTCTGTAATTTTTATTTTTACATATCAAAAGTCAAAATGCATAAAACAAAAATCTGAATCTGGGGTTTGTAATTTCACGAATTGGGGAACAAGGGAAAAAAAAAGTGAAGGTCGTTGCTTGTCGAAATCGAATCTCTAGTGCCAATCTTTGACTCTCCCAGTCTCCCAAACGCCAAAGGTCGTTGATTCACTTCTTGTGTATCAGTCTTCTACTTTTGTACACCCTTTGTTTCTCATTAGAGTGGTTAGCCTTTTGGTTTTGGGTTCAAGTTACTTCTTTGATATTAGGTGAGACTTCTAAAAGTTGCTTCTCTCAACATTTTTATTATCACTTGCCGTAAAAGATGACTGGCTTAATATGAACTATAAAGGGGGCATTTGGATTGGGAGTAATCTTCGTTTATTGTGCAAGATTCCGGTGTTTGGTTTGCAAGTAATAAAATATTATGGGAATTTTTTATTGCAAATAGTGTTTACTGTTGGTAATGTGAGGGTAATTCGATACCCTCCCCCACCCTTGGGATTAAAACATTACCGGGATAATATGATTTTTCTATCCATTTTGCCCTTAATTAAAACCATTTTAGACACAATTGCCCTTAAATGTCTACCAAATAACAATTACCTAGCCTCCATACATTTGAGAAATTAGCTAAAACACCTCAACCATAAAAAAGTTTAAAAGTTAACAAACTACCCTTAGCCACCCAAGACCATCGCCATCCGCCGCGTCAGTCATTGTAATGGTGCACGACTGGTGGAATCTAGTCGGTAGTGCACTAGTAAGGCCTTTTCTAGCCATGGATCACAGATCCATGGTCGGAAACTGCTAGATCTAGCGTTTCTATGGCTGTTTCACGAACAAAGATATGATCGTGAAATGGCACGGCCAAAGATCTGGCCTTTTCATAGCCAGATCTATGGCCATTTCGTGGAAAAGGCCAGATATTTGGCTGTGCCATTTCACAGCCACATCTTTGGCCGTGAAATGGCCATAGATCTGGCCGTTTTTCGGCTATGGATTTGTGATTCATGGCCATTTTCAGCTTTATCGGTGCATGGCTGGCCATATACGGCCAATCGTACACCATTCCATCAACTGCCAATGATTGTTGATGGTGGTGGCTAGCTGCTGGCTGTCGGTAGTGGCTTGGAGTGGTGATTTTGCTACAAATTAAAGTTTTATATGGCTGGGGTGTTTTAGAAAAATTTTAAATGTGGTTAAAAGCAATTATCCAAAAAATAATAATTAAAAATACTATTATATTAATATTTAGAAAAGACATCAATTTAGTAATCTATATAACATACCCACCCATTTATCCTTGCAACCAAATATATTATTCACCAATTTATTCGAACTAACCAAACACATTTTTCAAACATTCTCAATAATTTTCAAGGTGATCTTTCTTTCTGTTAATATAATATCCCCTATAATAAAACATTATATGATTTAAACGCTCCCCAAGTGTAATTGTATTTGCTATTTGGCCAACATGAATATTATAATATTCAACCACTTTACTTTTTATTCTTATTCTAAGTTAGTGGTGATATTAAATAATTAAGCCACTACCAACAGTTCCTCCTTTTTTGTTTTTAGCTGTTAGTGTTAGTGTGTGTGCATGTGTGTGTGCCTCTAAAATGGAGTCATCTGTGCTGGCACGCACTCACAAAATAGCTCTTTACTTGAAAGTAAGAAGTTTATATCTTGATTATGTGGTCAATAATTTTCAATAAAGTTATAATGTTAAGTAGATCTCTTTGAGATTAGGATTCTATTTGAAGTTCTTTACTATTGCTGTTGCTTTGCCTGATGATATAATAATGGGTTCTAAATGCATATCCTTCTTCCAGGAAGTGTGTTCAGCATTGTAAATTAGTTGCATTTATTGAAATTAGACCTCAGCATAGACTACATAGATTGATTATTTACATATTTACATGATCAGCATACTAAATTTAATTTCTCTCACATACACTAAATTACAAAACTACAATTATACAACTTAAGTTAATATTGCCTAATATCTTTATTTTCTATGTTTACAAGAACAATGTCTTCAAATAGAGATGAGATGTTGATCTTCATTGCCTAATATTGCCTAAATTACAAGGAATATCCATTGGGAATTCTTCCGATACTGAAGGATGAGATGTTGTTATGTTATTTTATATTTTAAAATGTTATGTAATTTTAATTTTAGGAACAACATGTGGAATTGGAACTTGGAACATTTATTATTTTTACTGCAGACTATATTTGTATTTTTTTAAACAGATGTCAGATGGGGGTGTATTTGTAAGTTTTAAGGGTTTTTTTTATCATTTTTTAAACTAATAGGGACCATCTGATAATTTTCCTAGGTACTCGGGACCAGAAGGAACCTGTGAAACAGGGTTCGATTCCAGCTATTCAGGAACCGGAACCGACCAGTTTCAATTCCATATTTCAGGAATCAGCCGGTTCCGGTTCTTCCAAAAAATCCAAGGTACTCGGACTCGATCACCCCTAATTGGGCCCCTCACATTTTATTTTTCAAGACCCCAATTCTAAGTCAATCTCATTAAATTTTTTAAGCATATGCAAATATCTTTATAAACCCCACCTACTTTCAAAAATACCCTTTTATATTTTCACTATCCATATATTATAATTATTAGTCAACGTCATCACATATATCTTTTAACATGTATTTAACCACTATTATTTATTTATTTTTGTATTACTACATCCTATCAATGATTTTATTTTATAATACAAAGTTTTTTTATCATTAAAAATAACAATTTCAAGCATCCTAGAAAAAAAAAAGTCAGTTTTGATCGTTAGGTTATGGAAATAAGTTCACACACTAAAAAAGTTATCTTTGAGATTACGAACAAATAAAAAAACTTCGAATAGAACTTTATTAGTTAATATTATTCTGTATTTTATATTATATATGAACCTAAACTGAGACTTTGTTACATAACCAAAATTAAAAACAAATACATCTTTATATTTAAAATATATAGCAACAAAATTGTAAATATAAAAAACAAAAATTATTGTATACTAAAATATGAAGAAGACAAACATTAATCAGAACAAATATAATTCCTTTCTGTCTTATCTAGTAATACTAATAAAAGATAAAATTTAAATTAATTAAATAATACTAATCGGGGTCTAAAGAGATAAAATATGGGGGCCTAATAGTATAAGTCTTTTCTTAAATTCTTATAGATATTTTATCTTTTTTTTCCTCTCCTTTTTTTTTTCAATAACAATTCCTGATTTGTTTGTTTTAGCAAGGAGTATGGCTTTTTTTTTTTTTTTTTTTTTGATATTTTTGGGAGAATATTCTATGTAAATTTTCACTAAGTTTTTACTTCAATGAACTTTTTATGGATTCATGGAGTGGGAATATTTATTTAGTTAATTTGGTTGAGACTGCAATTTTATAAGGATAAAGATGAGGGTAATGTTGTCAATCATAGCTGTAAATATACTACCTATTGTACTTTTTTTTTCTAATTACAATTTTGACCTATTCATCATTCATGGGGCTATTAATAAATTTAGTGGGGTGGGAAGATCACTTCCCCATTTTTTACTAATGCGTATACTAATGCGAGCACTTTTATTTAGAATTCCTTAAGTGGACCTAATTCAAAGAAAAATTTGAGCATTTTTAACTCTCAAATTTTAAGTGGACCTATATATATAAATATATATACAGTAAAACCTCTTTATAGTATATATGTTATGTTACATTAAAAGTTTAAGATGAAATAAAATATTTATCTGAAATTATTTGAGACAATAATTTATGTTTTAGAATTATTATTACATCTTTTAACTTGCAGGTACATTACTCGCTACTATAGACATTTTCTTGTTAAAGCCAAAACATTTCTAGTTTCTCAAGCATGTTTAGAGCTTCTTGAAATGAAACTTTTTGTATTTCCGTACTATCATCCTCATAATTATTTCCTTTCTCTTCTTATTTAATTATAGAAATGATTTCTTTTTTTGTTAAAACATACATGACTTGTTATTTATTTGGATGATTAAGGAAGAAATTAATATTCATTCGATTAGTGTAATGAAGTTGTCGAATCTGATCACTCAATTCTACCATGACTTTTTGATTCTTCTCATCCACTTCATTTGTAACTTGCAATTTATCGACATCGGGGGTCCTAATTTTGTAATGCTTAAAACAATTAGTAATTGTCTATGACTTCACATCAGTTGTCATGCAGCAACTGCATTTACAATTCCATCAAAGACAATTATCTTTGTTGGTTTCAAAACACGATATTCTATCCGTTTTAAAAGTAGGTAATTGAAGCGCTGAATTGAAACTCTAAAATTATTAAAATATGAATTAAAATCCTGATATTGTACTACTAAAACATGAATCATGAAATAAGAAATTTTTTTAACTACACCTCTATTAAGTTATAATCTGCTCGTAGTAATAAAATTAATTAATCCCCACCATTATGACTATAGAGAGGTTTTACTCTCTCTCTGTGTCTCTATATATATATATATATATCTCTCTCTCTCTCTCTCTCTCTCTCTCTCTCTCTCTCTCTGTCTATATATATATATATCCGAGAAGATTGATAGGAAAAAACAAAAAAAAAAATTAGTTGTAAAATGTAATATAAGTGTGGTATATTACTAAATTTGAGAGTTAAATATCACTCTTAGTAGGATTAGAGGATACTTGAATTGATGTGATTAGATAGATTTAGAGCATTGTGAGACACTACTTTTTTTCTTTGAGAGATGATGATATGTCTCTACGCCAACTCAGTTTTGGGGTTCTAGTCTCACATGCAATTGTTCTCGGCGGTCACACAACCAATTGACTTGTGTGAATGGTCTCATTTATGTGAAGATATTTGAAAAAAGAGATTTAATGGTACTGTATTATGCACCATATATGAGTGGGAGATGTTAGATTTTGGGCAATTTTCTAATCTCTCTATATTTATTAATTAAGTGGTTCTGATACTAGATAATGAACGTGAATGACGAATTACACTAAGAAACACAAAATCAAAATTACATATGTTCAAACAGCTTCTTCAAATTGTAAGGCCCTGTGACATCTGGAGCTCCACTCCACATCAGTTCTGAAATTTGCTTGTTGGCTCTTTCTGTAAGATGATCACCGTCAAAGAACAAATATTCACCGGGGTTATCACATAATTGATATTCTTTTATAGCTCTCTTCCCTCCACAGCTCAATATTCCTCTCAACGAACCAGTGCCACAACATGCCATCGCCTCCTTAAAACCTTCCAAACATGGACGAAAAATTGTTAAATTAGACTAGATCATGTTATGCTTTTCAGTTTGACGCAACGAAATTGTTAAACATTGTAAGATCAAACGACATACCATATTTTGATGGGTTGTTAATTCTTTCAGTTAAAGAAGCGTAGAAATCATGATTAGCATATCTGAATCCTTGCAGCTCACTCTCTAGTTCAAGAAGGACTTTAGAAAGTTCTTTGTTGTGTAATTTTACTGTCTCTGTAGCTTCCTCCAGGCAGGAACCTATGCTTTCAGCGTCAGGAACAAGTACTTTCATGCTTGGAATACAACCCAATGGCCCCAAGTTTAAGAACCCAAATTTCCTTCCACCTTTCTTGTATATTTCCTGACATAATTGGCACAAACTATACTTCAATAAATTCAAAGATAGAAAGGGATCCATCTCCAAGTAAATAAACTATAAATGATTAACTATAAAGTTAGATGCCATACTCTGATTATAGTTGTCACGTTGCCAATCACAGTCTCTACATACTCCTTTCTAGAGTTGAAAAATTGATGTACACTTGGATTTGTGGTGAAAATAACAGAGTAATCGTTGCTTCCAACGCTAATTAAGTAAACAGCTTTGGATAAGAAAGTTTTGGCTCCTTCATCACCTAGTTTCTGCTTCAACTGCTTCTCCACAATGTTGAAATAACTTAACTGAGTTCTAAGGTCTATCACCTGGAATTTGGAAAAAAAAAAAAAAATTTTTACTATGTTATTCTTTTCGTAATATATCACTGAAATTAATTAAGTACTTTGGAAGAAGATTTTGCTAATTCTACCCATTCTTCAAGCTTAATCAATCAGTCACATCACTTACTAATCCTTGATGAGTCTCAGATAAAACACCAGCTCCGGCAGATGCAAAGTTCACCCCAGAGGTAGATTGATGATTAGAAGACTGCAAATATGGTGAAATCAAGGGTAATTTTGCATACTCAGCTGCAGCAGAGTTATAATTGTACAAATGGATCAGTCATTCAGTTCCTCTCCAAGAAAATTAACAACATACTGATATAATATTCTTACCAATAAAATCTGGAGTTAAACGGCCATCCGAAAATCTGCCAGTAGGATAATTAAAGAAGGTTTTACCGAAGGGCCAGAAATTTGCTTGATAATAAGTTGTGGTGTTTATATAGTTATTGTTTCCAGCATCAAAATGCGAATCTCCAAAGATGAATAACGCAACATGTTTTGTAGGCAACGGTAGGTGACCACGACGAATGATCGAAATGACCAAACTTAAACAAAGCACCACAAAACAGATAACCAAACTTAATCTTGTCATGGGATAATTGATCGTGCTGCTTAAATTATATTCTCTTCAAAATCTTAATTAACTGCTCGTATTGATGGTTGATAAGGATTATGTGGCTCTGGCTACAATGTCGCTGCTGGAGGTTGAAGCATCTAATTAAAGATTTTCATTGAAAATTGATTGCTGGTTGGCCTGGTTTATTCATTTTTATTGATGGATAGTGATATGCAAACAACTCTGTAACAACTCTAATTAACTCTTTCTTTTTTAACTTATTTCTAGTGTTGACCAAGTGCAACTTATATTTTCTTATGAATTTGTATTTGAAGCTTGGGCAACAAGATGTTTACTTAATTTTTTTATGATTTCTCATCAGACAGCTTGCGAATATCTTATTTATTTCTCATTATTGTACTTATCCTCTTTAAGCTTGGGCAGCAAGATAGTTTAATTTGATAAAAGAGCAAAGGGGTCTAATTTTTCTGAGTTTAAGTTTTCTCTAGGCACTAATAGAAGTGACTACTGAGAGGATTTATCCGGTTATTCACTTCAGAGCCCCATTGGATTAGTTGGGTTGCCTAATCATAAAAGAGCAAAGGATCCAATATGAGTTCTTGAGTTTGAGTCCCCTCAAACATTAATAGGGGTAGTCACTGAGGGAATTTATCAGATCATTCACTTCAAGGCCTTGGGGGATTAGTTAAGATACGTGCAAGCTAGGTTGAACACCCTAGTTAACCGAAAAAAAAAAAAAAAAAAATAGCTTAATTTGGAAGCCGATTGGAAGCTTAGGCACTCCATTTAATTAGTTTTATGTTTGACACAAGACTTAAGAGGCTTACCAAATTAATCTTTGACACCAGGATTTGATCACCTATGTACTATTGAGCAATATAACTCTTACAAATTATTTATAAAAACTGATTTCATTTGTTTCGTAACCTTTTAAATTAGTAATATTTACCTCAGTTATTATTAACTGGTTCAAAAAAAATAAAACTGTGGAGGGGTAAATTTCTCAATGATACAAAAAGTGGTTGTACTGAAAGTTCAAGTAAGGAAGGAAGGAATTTATATATATATATATATATATATAACAATAAAATATTAAAAATTTAAATAATATGCTTATTCAATATAATTACAATTGTTCTTAAGGCATTTTCATGTTTTAAAAATAATGCATAATAACATCATTGTCAATGTTTTTAAGTATAATGATTTTCCGTATATCTAACCAAATTATCACTCAATCATTGATTTCATATTCGATTCCATGGATCTTTTACAATAGTAACTGCTAGAATTAATCTCAAAAAGTATAGGAAAGATAATGTAAATGATATGATTATATCAACAAAGTATTAAAAAAAAAAAAAAATTAATTAATTAATTAAATTAAATTAAATTAAATTTAAAATTAATGTTAGAACACATAGAGGTCAGAGTTTCTAGTTTTTAATCTACAGGTGTTTACAAATTGCCTCATATTAAAAATTCATACACATCTAAAACTTAAGAAAATTTCTAAAATTCAAATGTTAACCACTTTCAGTAAAAAATTTGTGGCCTAATTCTATGCGATTGACTAGATGTTGTAAAAAATACCAGTTTATGCTATTAAAAAAAAAAAAAAAAAAAGTGTTAATGCTAGATTTTGACACCAACTATTCATACGTGCAAAGTGTTAAGCGGACTTAAAAATTACACGTAAACTGGAAAATGAAATAAACAAAAGAGAGACGATTTTTAAAGTTGTTCGAATGCTCAAAGCAAATCCTACGTCCACAATCTTTTTATTTATGAGAGAGTACAATCAGGTTGCACATAGCAATCAGAAAGAAAAAAAATACAAAGAGGGAGAAAGAGAGTGTTTAAGTTATCAGAACTAGAATCTCGAAAAATAGAGAGGAGCTCTTTATTTATAGTAAGAGATTTCTGGATAATGATTATGGGTTTGCCAGCAGGCAGGTGCCGTACAGTTCCTACCCTGCTTCCCATTGGCCGGTTGCACAGAAGATATCCTTAAATCACACAGGGCTTGGGCAAGTGGGTGACTCCCAACCACTCACTCGCCAGGCCTTTACCTGCCAAGCTGATGACAGCCTTACTCCTTCTGTCCTTGGACGACGTGGCAGCACCTGGACGGCACAATGCCTTCCTCAATTATGATTGGTCCTTACTGACGCAAGCCTACATCAGCCCTAATTTTTTAGGCATACCAAAAGCCCCCCAATTCTTAAAGTTCAAGGCTTGAACTTTGGGAACTTCATGATTATGCTATGATTTGGCCCATTCCGCGGATCACTTGCGCGAGCTGCAAGCGGAGAGTGGCTGAAATAACATGAAGTTCACGATTTTTACTCGACTAGCGAACTGAGTGAAGGTCGCGACGTGGGCTTGGTGAACTTCACAAGCGACCTGAGATGATCATCCCTTAAAGGTTCAACAACCTGGGGTCAGATCCTGCTCAGTGCTATACCAACATGCTTCAAACTTTGCCCATCACTCTCGACCTGAAAACACTTAGAAAATTCCTGTCGAAAATCAGAGATCACTTCACTTTCGAGCTCAGTACATAGAGAAGAGTATTTCATTTGAACGATCTCTTCAGATGTAATCCGCGTTGCGCTTAACAGCTGGCTTGTTCAATAAAGTAAGATTTATCTGACAAACGTGTCTTTGCGCAATAAGCGTCAGCCATGAGCATTAAATGCAAGCCATGCTGAAATGACATTCACTTTTGAAGCATTAATGCGGATGAGGGTGCATTCAATGCAGTGAAGATAACCATGCCAACGTTTGATCTCTCCAATGGAAGGAAACGTCGATTGATCTTCACGAAGCGTGAAGGTTACTCTTCATAAGGATTGGCAACACGTGGTTGCATCTAACAGCTAGGAACGCGTCCCGTCCAAACGTCGCTTGCAAAGGAAACCAAGCTTCACCTTCTTCCCTATAAAAACCAAATTCCATTTCACCATTTTCACAGAACTCAAATCTTCAAAGAGAAAAAAACAGAGTTTTTTGCACTCAAAAAACCAGTTCATCTTTCTTCCGGTTGATGCGCGCTCACTGCTATGACAAAACATTCATCCCCAGCAACCAAGAGGTAAGGAATACTGTTCCCTTTCTTCTTTTCATTCCTGTTAAAAACTCAATTTTTTCACAACAATGGTGGGTTTGAATGACTGGTAAATTTTTATGATGCACATCCTTTGGTAGTGTTCAAAAAGGAACACTCTTAAAAATTGAAAACCTAAGGCACAGATCTTTGAGAACTCATTCTCAAGGATGTTTAGGGGGTTTAGGCGTTAAGGAAGGAAAATCAGGGTTTTTCTTACTCTTTCGAGTCGTCGTATGAAACACTGCGTACGGAGACTGAGTCACCTCTTCGTGTCTCACATTTTCAGACTTTTAGAGCACTGGACGCTTTGAAGATAATAATAGCTAGTGGAACCAGCTCGCAGCCCCCAAGCACCTCGACAGGTCCCACACAGGTGGTGCTATCAGTAGCCACTGCAGATGAGATTCAAAAGGCTGTAGATCAGTTTGCGATCAACGTAAACGTCTACCAACATAGGAAGCACACCGCTCAGGACCCTCCAGAGGGAATGGCTGCGATCTCAAAGTCAATCTTCAAATGCGGGGTGACAATATCTTTTCACCCCTTTATCAAATCAATCCTCGATCACTCAAAGGTTGCACCATTCCAACTGACGCCCAATGCGTATATGATAGTGATTGCTATGTATATCACATGTCGAGAACACGATCTCAGCGAGTTAACAACTTAGAACTCGCACGCGCTTACTACTTGAAGAAAATCAAGGACAAAGATTCCTTCTATCTCTCTAAGCAATCTATGATCGAGGGAGGGATATTTGTTTACCCCAGCAACGTTGGGGCTTATGACACGAAATATTTCTTCTTCGAGTATGATGGTGTTTGAAAATTTAGGAAGCCGAGTAGGTTTTTCCCTTTGGTTTTCCAAACTGACCATCCTTTCCTTTAATTTTCTTTCGGTAGTTAAGACTAATGGAATTTTTCTTTTTGTAGAGAACAAGACAACCAGGTTGTTGGCTCTAGCAGATTTCAGCTGCATTGAAGCGTTTGGTTGTTTACCTAATCAGAGTCGCGATGCAAAACTACTCGTGACCACTGCCAACCTACAAAAATACGGTTTCTTCAACCCCGAGGCATCTTTAAAAGCTCCAGGCTGTAAGTATCTTTGCATCCTGAAGAACTTTTAGCTTGTAACAACTTCTTTCTACTATCATATTCATAAAATATATCAATAAAAAGACAAGTATATTTATCAAAAGGGTTGGGTCCAAAAATTTTCTTTACTTAATAAATACATTCTTTACATAGTACAACATCATTTGTACAAACGACTCTAAAAAAGATAGTGGACAGTGCCGCCAAGTCTCCCCGCTTCCCGACGTCCATCCGACCAGGTCCTCACCTATGCCCTGTACAACAAAGAAAACAACGGAGTGAGCACAAAGATGCTCAGTAAGTAAATCTTCTACGCTATAATCCCCGTGCATTACTCATCAATTCTTTTCATACTCTTGTCACTTTCTCTAATTCTAGTTCTCGCTATTCTTTTTCTTTCTTTCTATTCTCATCACCCATAGAGAATATCATAACCATGCATGGACGACATATTAAAGCATAACAATGCATTTTCTTTATTTTCTTTTCTTTCTATTCTTTTCTTATTCTTATTCTTATTCTTTGCCGGTCTTGGTCGATGCATGGATTCGGAACCCTTCGTCATGTGAGTGTACTCTCTCTCGTGTATAGCCCTGTATTCTCACGGCTATACAAATTCTTTTTCTCATTCTCATTCCGCTCTCTCATGGCGGAGACTGCTTTCTCTCTTATGGCGGTTTACATGCGGGTAACTCTACACTCACGGATTCCCCATCGCACGACCTATTTTTTTTTTTTTTTTTCTGTAGCACTTAATAATCATTTTATTCTCTAATGCTAGTTCTTTCTTTCTCTTTATTCTAAGAGAATTGGTTCTTTTCTTTATCTCTATTCTTAGAGTGTTTCTTTCTCATTTCTCATATTCTTTCTCATGTGATTACTCAATTAAACATATGCATAAGGATGGCTCATGCCTAAAATCTTTCTCATATGTATTCATGATATGCAAACATGCTATGTTGCATAAAGTAAGGTTCTCTA